CCTGTGTATTCTAGTCCAGAATCTAGCCCGTGACCCATGTTTGGCCAGACGATGGTGGCGTGACGCCATTTGGGCTCACTCGAAACAGGTATTTCGTAAAACAGACTGTTATGAGCATGTGGTTTGTACACAGTAGAAAACTACAGAACAGAATGTGACTTGAGTGTCTAAAACGAGAGGGTTATATATGCAGCGCCGAGCTAGGCGAGGACGTCGGGGGTGAGGCTCGGTTTGTGACGAAAGGTCCGGTGGCGAGTCGGAAGTGGTTCGGGGCGAAAACTAGGCCGAACCAGTAGTAACGAACTCCTCGGAACATACAAGCGTAAGAAAATTCTACAGCTCGAAAATACATGTCCTTATACAAACTCAACGAAATGAACAGAGTTTCTGGTAATGTTTTGGATTAACCCCAATTAAGTCCCGCAGATTCTACAAGTTCACTTTCCAAGATCAACCATTGCAGGAAAGGTTAGCACGAACACACACGAACTTAGCTAGTGTAGTGCAATTACGTATCTCGCACATCTCATACCTAACACTTTCTAGACGAATGGGCACACCGCCCGCATTGTGTTGTTGTTGGCACTATTTCCACCCCCACATGACTCCGCATTTGACTGTAACGATTTGCCTGCAGCCTGCCTGGCTCTTAGACTTTTCGCTGCCCCACCAGGCTTCTTTGCATGCATGGCAGAGATGGTGGTGGGCGTGAGATGGTGGCGGGAGCGTGGTAGCAATGGGAGTGACTCCTCCGCACAGCAGCACCAATGGACGGGACTGCTGGCATCAGCAGTGCCAGTGGTGAGTCCTCCTACATGATGGCTAAGCAATATGAGGAGAGTGCTGTCGAGGGGTTGGAGGAAGGTGCGAGGAAATAGTGGAGGCAAAGGAAGGGGATCAAGAGAGAAGCAGTGTAGAATAGGGGAAAACTAGGCAGGGGCGGCAAAGCAAGGGCGTGGGTGGGCTCAAAGGGCTTGAAAAAACAAATTGACGGTAACAAGTTGGCGCGCGAGCATGCAGCATTCCTGTGGTTGTGCCCACCTAACCAGCACACACTCTTCCCCCATTCTCGAATTCCCACCTTACCAGCATAACTAGCATGCACAACCCGCCATACATTGACTGCACTTGATGAACAGAACCAAACCAACACACCACTGCAGCCTGCTCTCACCTTGGCCACGGGCGCTGAGACAGAGCCACAGTCCTCACCTCACCACGCGAACGCTACGAGAACTGCCTCTCAAGCATCCAACGCCCCAGTCCTCACCTCACCGTGTGTCACCTGATAGTACCAACAACCACCTTACTGTGTGTTACCTGATAGCACCAATATCGCACCTCAGCCTGTACTCACCTTGGGAGTGTCGTGAGCACCAAAATGTAACCCGATGACACACTATATCATCTGATAGCACCCAATGATACCTAAGAGAACCATACACCACCACATTCAACACCATCACTCACCTTGGCGAGGCGGCACCGCAAAAGAGCCACAACCACAGGAATGCTGCATGCTTGCATGCCTGCACTCCTGAGATAGAACCAACAGCCACCATACCGTGCATGCACTACTTGATGGCACCGGTACCTCTCCTCAGCCTGCAGTCACATTTACGACGCGGCGCCGGAAATGTTGCGTGCATTACCACTCCCCTCCTCGCCTACCTTAACACATGCACCCACTCCCCCCCTCGCCTACCTTGCCGAATGTAACCTGAAAGCACCACACCCCACCACGTTCAACTCTTGCAGTCACCTTGGCGAGGTGGTGTCAAGAGAGAGGCACGACCACAGGAATGGTGCGCGCGACGGCATCTAATAGGATGGGCGTGAGGGCTGTGTCAAGACTGCCTGATGGACGGTGGGATAGGGTGGGGGGAGGGAAGGGGAGATGGTGGAAGTAAGGGCTGGTTGGGTGGCCGGGGTTGGTTTGAGCTAGGAATGCTGCTTAAGATGTGATGTGATGTGATGGGAGGGCCGCGTCATGACCGTCTCGGACGAGTGCGGAGGGGTGGATGGGCTGCGGTGGGGTGGGATGGGAAGGGTGGATAGGGGAGTAATGAGAACAAGGAGTGTCACGTGTGGCAGCATCTGATAAGATGGATGTGAGGGCCGCGTCAAGACTGCCTGCAGATTGACTGACGGTGGGGTGGGGTGGGGTGGGTGGAAATAATATGGAACCTTGAATACTGCGTGCGGCTGCATTCGATTGGAAGGACAGATGTCGTGAGAGTGAAGGGCAGCAGCAGCAGCAACAAGGCTGCCTGGTGGACAGAACGGAGCAGGGGTGGGATTAGGTGGGATGAGATGGGATGAGGTGGGATGAGGCGGGTGGTTGTGGTGGGGGTGGTTGCATGGGGATCCTGATAGGATGGATGTGAGGGCAACATAAAGGCCGCCTGGTGAGGGTTGGCTTGGAGGAGAGGTTAAATGGGGGTCAACGGGGAGGGGAGAGAGGGTGGAGAGGTAGTGATGGGAATGCGTCACCATGGCTACATAAGGAGTGATTTCAATGCTGCATGTGACGGCATCGGAAACTCATAGGATGGCGTTACACGAGGGCCGCATTGCAAAATCAAAACCGCCTAGAGGACAGGGCAGATGAGTCGTTGTGACTCATGGTGGAAGGGCAAAAGTTGTTAGAGTAAACACTTTCGCACGAAAGCGAAAGAGTACATAGTTTCCCAGGCAGTCTCAAGACCGCCTGGGGGACAGGGCGGATGAGGGGACGGGACGGGATGGGTGGGCGGATTGGGGTGGGTTGAACGTACGGAAGAAGATGTTCGGCGGATTCAACAAAAGGGCATGCCCAAGTGATGATACGACTTTTGGTACTGCCCTCCCTCTCTCCCCTTCCGAAAAACTCACCTGCCCCAGGCACCTCCTCCATGTTAGGCACCACAAACCTGGCCCTCCCACTGCGCACCGCCTGCCCCACCTCCTTCAGCCCTGCTAGCACGCGTCGCCTCATGGCTCCCTGTGCTTGGGGAGGTTAAGTGGGAAGGTGATGGGGGAGGAGACAGTGCCTGCCCGACCTCCTTCAGTCCTGCCAGCACCCGTCGCCTCATGGCTCCCTGTGCTGCGCATGGGGGGTGGGGAGGGCGGAGGGAGGAAGCTTCAGTGGGGGAATGGGTGGAAAAGAGATGAAGGGGAATCTCTTTCAGCTTGCACCGCCTTCAGCCCCTCTTGCACGCAACGTCTCATTGTTCTGTGATTGGCGATGGGGGACGGGGGGATGGGGTTGGGGATGGGGATGGGGAGGGGAGGGGGGAGCGGGAGGGGGGAAGGGGGAGTGGAGAGTGTCTTTATGCGGAGATAACTCTAGTAACGGGAGCTAGACTACGGGCTAGGCACGGATGCTCGTGTGATCTCTGCGTTCTCTGTTCCTTAGTCGTTTCCTAGTGTACTCACTGCTTGCTAGTTCACAAGGCAATTTGGCAAGAGTTTCACTAGAGAAAAGTTGACAACAATGATACAATGAAGTTGGCTAGGAAAGACTACATCAGAGCTAGGATGCAAGCAGGTCGACTGCCAGCGCGGCACGGTCGACCGCGTGCCAGCACGACTTGGTCGACCGCGCTCCAGCAGTGCAAGGACGCGGCTTGCCAACGCTGCAGGTCGATGGTGTGACAACAGCGCAAGTCGACGGCGTGCCAGCGTTGCTCCTGCAGTCCAGCATCGCACCAGCTTCGCAGGTGCTCGTAGATGATTGGCGCGCACTGCTTCGTCACCTGCACAGCGTACGCACCAAGTCCACCTTGTGCTGACGACTGCATCTCATCTGCCAGGTCGACCTCGGGATACCACCACCGAGGTCGTCCTTGCCAACCTCGCCTGGGCGACCTTCGCGTGCCTTCGCAGACCCTCGTCACCCAGGTAACCTGGTCGACCGGGCAACCACGTCGACCAGGTGCTCCTGTGCGTGCCCGTCGACCTCCCAAGTCGACGGCCACCTCCAGTCGACCTCACCAGGTCGACCACGCCCTCTGGTCGACCAACTCCAGGTCGACGACACTCCTTGTCGACCACCTCCAGGTCGACCAGCACTCCTGTTGGCCGACCACCCAAGTCGGCTACCCCAGGTCGGCGTCCCCAAGTCGACGCCCTCTGCAGGTCGACTTCTCAAGTCGACCACTCGAAGTTGGCGCCCTCCCAAAGTCGGCGCCCTTGCAGTGGCTTCCGTGCAGGTCGACCAACCCCGTCGACCGGCTCGCCCACTACTGCAGGTCGGCTGCACCCCTACACCCGACCAGGAAGTCGGCTCCGCCCAAGCGAGGACGGGGCCAACACCCAACTCCCGTTGACACTTTGAGCCCCGCACCCGCCCCTAATAGCTCCCTGTTCCCGTGTGTGGGGCATGGGGAGGTTAGGGGACAGGGGCATGGGGAGGTTAGGGGACAGGGGGATGGGGAGAGGGAGGGTGAGTGAGGAGGGGGAAAGGATACGGCGTTCAACCCTGCCTGCTAGGCCCCTGCTCCCACACATGGCGTGGAAAAGGGGGATGGGGAAAAGATAGTGTGATGTGAAGGGCAGTTTCATTCGGAGAGGGGGATGGGGGAAGAGGGGTGTGGAACACGGAGGGGGGCAGTGGATTGGGAAGGAGGCACATGCCTCTGCCCCAACTGTAGTGTCACCTTGAACGAGACTGGCTCACCTTAGGGAGTTCAGACGCCAGGGCTCACCTTGAGGCGGTGTCGCTTTTTTTTGAAATCTAAAAAATGGACTCACCTTGATGGAGGGGCGAGGTGAGGAAGAGGGAGCGGGGGGAAGGAGGGGCTGGGGGTTGGCCTAGCATCGCACCAGGTCCGAGAAGTGCAGTGACCACCAGGTCCGAGAAGTGCAGTGACCACCAGGTCTGGTGGGCGTACCAGCCTACCAGGGGGAAGGTTGAGGGGCCAGAGGGGGGAGCGGGTGAAAGACAGCAGGGAGAAATCACTTTAGTGAAGACTCAGAAGTGATTTCAATATAGGGAGTGGTGCAGCACAGCCACTAGAATGTTCAGCCTGGGTAAAGCCGAGGGGGATGGCACGTGGGAGGGAGGAGAAGTGAGATGCAAGGGAGGAGATGGGTGTGAGGGAGGAGATGGGTGTGAGGGAGGAGATGGGTGTGAGGGGGAGATGGGAGTGACGGAGGATATGGGTGTGGGGAAGGAGATGGGTGTGAGGAAGGAGATGGGTGTGAGGAAGGAGATGGGTGTGAGTGAGGAAATGGGTGTGAGGGACGAAATGGGTATGAGCAAGGAGATGGGTGCAGCGAGGGGTGTGGATGCAATCACTAAGGCAAGGCGACAGGTGCGCGTCACCCCCATAGCTCACTGGCGCTCACCGGTGCTCACTGCCGGTGCTCACTGCCGGTGCTCACTGCCGTTGCTCACTGCCGTTGCTCACTGCCGGTGCTCACTGCCGTTGCTCATTGCCGGTGCTCACTGCCGTTGCTCACTGCCGTTGCTCACTGCCGTTGCTCACTGCCGGTGCTCACTGCTGGTGCTCACTGCCGTTGCTCACTGCCGTTGCTCACTGCCGTTGCTCACTGCCGGTGCTCACTGCCGTTGCTCACTGCCGTTGCTCACTGCCGTTGCTCACTGCCGTTGCTCACTGCCGTTGCTCACTGCCGTTGCTCACTGCCGGTGCTCACTGCCGGTGCTCACTGCCGTTGCTCACTGCCGTTGCTCACTGCCAGTGCTCACTGCCGGTGCTCACTGCCGTTGCTCACTGCCGTTGCTCACTGCCGTTGCTCACTGCCGTTGCTCACTGCCGTTGCTCACTGCCGTTGCTCACTGCCAGTGCTCACTGCCGTTGCTCACTGCCGTTGCTCACTGCCGGTGCTCACTGCCGTTGCTCACTGCCGTTGCTCACTGCCGTTGCTCACTGCCGTTGCTCACTGCCGTTGCTCAGGAGAGAGCGGGTGAGGGCAATGCAGGGAGAGAGTGGGTGAGGGCAATGCAGTGCAAGGCGAGAGAGTGGGTGAGGGCAATGAATTACAAGGAGAGCGACCAAGTGAGTGGGTGAGTGAGTTCAACACATTTGATCACCACTGACTCAACCGACCTATCAGCCTAACCAACCTTACCAGCCTACGCAACCTAACCGGCTTACCCAACCTAACCGGCCTACCCAACCTAACCGGCCTGCCCAACCTAACCAGCCTAACCAGCTGAACCAGCTTAACTGCACACACTATCCCCATTCCGCACCCACCTTGACCGGCAGCTATGTTGCGGAAGACGCAAGACGCGTCTTGCGTCTAGCGTCTAGACGCTAGACGCAAGACGCAGAATTAGACGCAAGACGCTTGGCAAAATTTTTTTCGGGCAGCCCGGAAAAAAAATTCTGCGCGCGAAATTGAATTTCGCCATTTCGACGCGAAATTCAATTTCGCGTTTTTCTAACCCCTCCCCACCCATTTCGACCCCACAAACAGGCCCTCCAACAATTTGAAGCCCCCCCCCACCAAAATTGAACACTTAACACTCTTCACCACTCACTACCTACAAAACCCAACCTTCATGGTAAACCACCAAGAGGTTGGGGAGCACAAATCCCACATTTGTGCTCCCCAACCTTCATTTCTCTCAATTCTCTTTCGTAAACCCTTAGGGTTTAGCTCTTTCCTCCGCGCAAGCAACTATGGCTTCTCCTAGTGGTAGAGGCGCTTCGTCTAGTAGTTCCTCCTCCGCGAGCGAGAATGCCGTCGGCGAGGGTTCTTCCGCCCGTGTTTCCTAGGAAATGGAGGGTATTGAGAAGAAATCTAAGTTTCCCGAGCACCCGATCTACAAGCACTATTATTTTTTCTCGGACCCGAAGAAGAAGGGCGAGCAAGTCGAGTGCCTTTTTTGCCACAAGAAGTTCTCGTTTAGTAGTAGCCGCACTCCCGAGCATCTCGCCGAGTGGCACGACCCGCATCGGCGCCGCGAGGCGGGAGTCGTTTGCAACAACCAAAGGAGATTTCATCGGAGATTCGCGAGATGTTCGAAGCCAAGATTCGGGCGCGCAACCAAAAGGCGCGGGCGGCAAGTGCGGCGATCGCGACGGTGAGCGGCAAGAGCGAGGCGGGAGGGAAAGGGAAGCGCGGGCGCATGGAGGACTTTTACGGCGAGGGCGGACTTGCGGCGAGGCGGGCGGCCGACGAGGCGATTGTCCTCTACCTCGCGGGGACGCGCACGTCGGAGTCGCAGTGCGAGCACCCGCTCTTCCTCAACATGCTGCGAGTCGTCACCGCTGCCGACACGGGCTACGTCCCCCCCAAGCTGCACTACGTCGGAGGCGCCGGCCTGCTTGAGTGCAAGCAGAAGATTGAGAAGGCTTTGTCGCCGGTTACGAAGTCGTGGACGGAGACGGGCGTGACGATCGCCAGCGACATGATGCAGGACAAGAGCGGCCGCGCGCAGATGAACGTCATCTGCATCAACAACACTGGAGCGGTTTTCGTCGAGGCGGTCGATTGCAAGGCGGCGACGAAGAGTGGCAAGTTCATCGCCAGCGTACTGTGGCCGATCATCGAGCGCATCGGGGCGGAACACATCATGGCGCTGTGCACGGACGGCGGCAGCAACTACAAAGCTGCTGGCAAGCTGCTGCTGAAGGAGTGGCCGCATCTTGACCTCGTTCCCTGCGCGACGCACGTGATGGACCTGCTGATGGAGGATGTCGGCAAGATGGATTGGGCGCAGGTGGTCGTGACCCAGGCGGACAACATGATCAACTTCGTGCGCGGGCACCAGTGGACGCGCGCCTTCTTGCGCGACCCGCAGCTGCACGGCGAGAAGAAATCGCTGCAGGTGTTGCGTCCGGCGGGCATGCGCTTTGGAACGCAGTTCATCGCAGTGTCTCGCCTGCGCGCCGTTCGCCAGTAGCTCACGGCGATGGTGACACACAAGGATTGGCCGGAGAAGGGGGGGAGCAAGGTGACGGGAGCGGATTTTAAAGGGTTGGGTGATGGACCAGGGGTGGTGGAAGAAGGTGGACGTGTTTTTGTCGGTGATGGAGCTGTTCTACAATGTGATGAGGAGGACGGATTCAGCGGCGAAGGGGATAATGGGCTAGCTGTACGACATCATGCTGCAGCTGACTGAGGAGTTGGATAAGCTGCTGAACGGGAAGGAGTGCAAGCTGAGCAGGGCGGATAAGGATAAGGTGCGGAAGCATTTGAGGAAGCGATGGGACGAGAGTCTAGCTTGCCCCCTCCACGTGGCAGGCCGGATCTTGTACCCGGCAAAACAGGAGGAGGAGATTTTCCTGCAGGATGCGGAGTGCACCAAGGTGATGCAGGAGTGGTTGGAGCGACAGAAGGCGTTCATCGACAGGTACTGGAAGAAGTCCAGCGGCAAGAAGGGACAGATGAAGCCGCTGCATGAGGGGGTGATGGCCTTCATCAACGGCCAAGGGGGGTTCGGCACGCAGACAGCGATCGAGGGGCGTGGGGATATTCAGCTGGGGAAGGGGAACGTGATGCTGTGGTGGCAGTACAATGGATGGGAGTACGCCCACCTGGCTCGCATTGCGAGGCGCACGCTGTCCCAGCCCGTTTCCGCTTCACCGTGCGAGCGGGGCCGGTCTACATGGGATGGCGTGCACACGGCGCGTAGGAAGCGACTCGGGTCGGAGAAAGTGCGCGACCTTGTGTATGTTGCGCACAACTGGAACGTTGTGCACAAATTCCACAAGGATGCGGAAGCGGGGCCTAGTGTGGTGGGAAGGAAGGGTGCAGTGGTGGAGGGGAACATCCCCCCCCCTCCCCTCCCCGAGGGGTACAAGTTGGAGCAGGATGGGGAGGTGGAGGCGGACGAGGACGACGTGTGCCTCGATGAGTGGCAGACGCAGGAGGAGCTGGAGAAGGAAGGGGAGGGGGACGACGAGGAGGAGGAGGAGGAGGAGGAGGAGGAGGAGGAGGAGGAGGAGGAGGAAGAGGAGGAGGAGGAGGAGGAGGAGGAGGAGGAGGAGGGAGGAGGAGGACAGCTAGGAGGCGTAGTGTTTGCTGCTGAGATATGTAGTAGTAGTACTGTATTTCCAGCTTGCTACTACTAGAGAGACATGGATGGAAGGTTAACTACTTATGATGCTTTGTGATAACTTTTTTGAAGTCTAAGAATGGGGGAAAAAATCTGGTGTGGGGAAAAATACACCCCATTGTGACATAGGTGCATGTTCCCCACCCTCACCATGCCCCTGAGAACTTTTCTTGGTCTGCCCGAACTTTTTTTTTAGGCCTGCCCGGGTTTTCGTCTAGCACTACGTCTAATCCAGCCTATCAAGCGTCTAGCGTCTTAGACGCTGCGTCTAGACAGACGCGCCTAAGACGCTAGACGCGTCTTCCGCAACATAGACCGGCAGTCATCTTGGCACCTGGTGTAGTCTGGAAAGAGGCGCAACACTCCCCCTCCTTCACAAACCTTCCCCCCACCACCCCCTTCTTGCCCAGTCGCATTCCGTACTCACCTTGGCCAGGCGGCGCCTCAGAGAGAGAGAGGCACGAGCACGAGCATGCCCCCCCACATGTGCTGGTTTCCCACCCCACTATGTACTAGCTGATAGTTCCCGCCCCACTTACAGAATCTGCACTCACCTTGTCGAGGCAGCGCCGGGAGAGAGCCACGAGCACGGCACAGGCATGCAGTGCGTATTACCCGTCATGCATGCAACCCCCCCTCTCCCCCCCTCTTCCCTCTCCCTCCCCCCTCTCCCCCTCCCCTCCCCCCCAATCCTCACCGCTGCATACATGCGCAGTACTATGAGAATCTGAAGGAAAAGGGAGGGAAGTGCATCTGAATTCCCTCCATCCTGCCATCAATCTGAATTCCCTCCATCCTGCCACTTCCCTCTTTCTCCTCACCCGACTTCCCCCACTTCCCCCCACTTCCCCCCCACCTCTTCCATAGTGGCCGTCAGCACCACACACTTGGCACTCACCGTTCGTTTAATAGCTTCAAAAACCAACCCTGTTACCGTCATCACTAAGAAAATATCGAGAAAACCCGTTTTCCGTCATCAAAACTTTCAATTATACCATGTAATTATCAACGGTTCACTCACCCACTTTACCACCACCCAGTGCACCCCCCGCTCCCTCCTTTCCTCGCCCGCATCCCCCCTCCTGCTCACCTGCCCCAAACACATCTCCTCGGCGCCAGCACCGCACACACTCGCAGAATTGAACAACCATACCACAACTGGCCCTTCCCTCACCCCCAATACACCCTGCACCAACCCCTCACTTGTCACTAGCACAGCACCTCCTTCACACACTTGGCTCTGCTGGCCCCAGCCACTCCCCTTCTCTCCCTTACCTCTCCCAATCAACTCTTCCAAGCTGGCCGCTAGCACTATACACTGAACAACCTACTTACCCCTACATTCACCTTCTATAACACCACTCAACTTCCTCCCCTCACCTGCCAAAGGCACCTCCTCCACGTGAGGCGCCAGCACCACACTCTTGGCTCTCCCACTGCACACCGCCTGCCCCACGTCCTTCAAACCCGATAGCATGCGCTGCCGCATCGCACCCTGCAGCCCTGCACCGCATGCCCCACCTCCTTCAGCCCTGCACCGCATGCCCCACCTCCTTCAGCCCTGCCAGCACACACCGCCTCATTGCTCCCTGTGTGCAGCACAGGAAAGGAGGGAGAGAGGAGGGAGAGCGGGAATCAGGGAAACAGTAGAATCACATTCACCCCCACACTGCCTGCCCCACCTCCCTCAGCCCTGCTAGTACACGCCGCCTCATCGCACCCTGTTCCCATGCGTTCGAGGGGTTACAAGGAGAACGAGGTGGGTTACTAACTCCTTCAGCATTGCCTCCATAAGTCCCACGAGCACCCGCCACCTCATCGCTCCCTGCTTCCATACGTGGGGGGTTAAGGGGAAGAATCGAGGTAGGATAACCTTCAGACCTATGCCCTGCCTGCTCCACCTCCTTCAGGCATGCCAGCACATAAAAACCTATAAAGTGGGAAGGAAGGTGGGATTCACTTCCCTGCACTGCACCCATCCGAGGGGTTGGAGCAAGGACGTGGACAGAGGAGGGCGGAATGGGGAGGGGAGGGGGCACGTGGAACGTGTCTCTGCTGTAACTAGGGTGGTGAAGTAACTGCGGGGGAGGTGGTAACGTCAGTCTGCAGCATGAAAGAGAGAGAAGTAGGTTAGGGACGGTGAGGTGGTGAGTGAGAGGTTGGCGTGGTGAGGTGAGAAGGTTCACCTTGAGTGATTTTTTTTTTTAAAGCGCCCTGACTTGAAACGGCTTACGTTAACAGGGTCCTTTCCGGAAGGCACTGAGTTGAAACCGCCAGCAACACAGCGACGAGCGAGTTGAGCTTGCATATAAACACTGGTGGGCGTATCTGACCTGAGGGGGGGGCAAGGGCGAGGTGGTGGGGTGTATGGGAATGGAGGGAGGAAGGAGATGGGTGTGGGGGAGTACGTGGTTGCAGCGAGGGGTGTGGGCGGCAGGTGAAGCTTCGAGGAAGGGCTGTGAACATGTGATTGCCAAGTCAAGGCGCATGGCACACATGCGTATCGCCTCGTGGTGTTCAGTAGTGCCGAATGGTGAGCAATCAACTCAGCGCCTCACCTTCTGCTTGCCTCACCGCGCTTCCTTCTTGCCCTCTCTCCTCTTCCCCTCCCTTCACCTCTCCTATCTTCACCCCCCGTTCCTTCTCCCCCCCTCCCTTCTCCTCCCCTGCTTGCCATTTCTCCCTTCCAATCCCTCCGTCCTTTCTCCTTCCTCGCCTTTGCCTACCCACTCGTGCTCCATCACCTGCCTCTCCTCTACTCGCCCCTCCACACCTTGCCCCTCCTCTCGCCCGTCCCCACTTCTCTGCCTCCCCTTTCTCCCCTCCTCCACCCTCCTGCTCCGTTCCCTGCTCCCCCGTCTCCCACCCCTGGCCTTGTGAGCGCCAAACCTAAGCCCTGCGAATTCTCGAGGAGGCGGTAGTGGAGATGGTGGTACCGGCGGCTTCAACCGCCTCTTTGCGCCGCCGCCTCCACTCCGGCCTGTTCTGCTCGCAACGTCAATGCTGCCTTTGCCGCTGCCACTGCTGTCGCCGCCGCTGTCTCGGCCGCTTCCGCCACTGGAATCCCCCCGTGCGCCCGTGCGCGTCCGTGCTTGCCCCACCCGCAATTTCCGCTTCTAAACGCGCATTTGCTGCCGCGATCGCCATGGCGAAAAGGTATTTGTCGCTTCATCGTTGTGTAATGGCATTTTCCCACTCTCGTCGTGATCCGTCGCTCTCACACCAACGTACGTCGCCCAGTTTCGTTGCTTGTCTGTCGCTCTGACGCAGTAGCGTTTGCGCCACTACCTGACGCTCGAAACGTCCTTCCACTGCCAATGTAGTATCGTCATTATATTATGAAGTGTCTCAACGAATGTCAGGGTTGCGCCTCGCGCCTCTGCTGTCGCGGCCATCCGCCATCACGAGTCATCTCTTCTCGCTCTCGTTTCCCTGTCTGTCGCTTCGATGCGACGGTTATCGAGTTATCATCCGTCACTCTCTCGTCGCAGTCCGTCGTTCTCACATCAACGTACGTCGCGCTGTTTTGTTGACTGTCCGTCGCTCTGACGCAGTACCGTTTGCGCCACTACCTTACTGCCAATGTAGTATCGTCACTTTATTATCATGAAGTGTCTCAACGAATGTCATGCTTGCGCCTTGCGCCTCTGCTGTCGCGGCTCTCCGCCATGGCAAAGAGCTCTCGTTGCTCAGTCGGTCGCTTCGACGCGACCACTATCGAGTTTACGATCAGTTGCTCTCTCGTCGCATTGGGGTGTCACTTGCGCCCTGCTGTTGGCTTCGCTGCTCTCACTTCGGCCAACACGCCCAGATATGAATGCGAGGTTCGTACAAAAAGAGGTGTGCAGAACAGAATGCCCTTTGAGTTTCTAGCGAGGGTAAAGTAGGCACCAGACGGGCTAGGCGAGAACCTCAGGAAAAACTAGGCTCGGAAGTTGGCGAAAGGTGCGGAGGCGACTCGGTGCTGGTTCGGGGAGCCAAAGTAGGTCGAACCAGCTGACACGTAAACCTCGGAGCTTACAAAATAGAATATGGCTACGGTGAGCCTACAGTAGATATTATAATTCAATACACAAACTCAACAAAATGTATCTACAAGCAAAATTTTGATGTAGTTCTGACAGATTTTCCCACAGATGCAACGAGCTCCCTTGACAAGTTTAAGGCTAAAGTTACGCAATTTGCAAACACATCCGCCACTCCCTTGCCCCTTGTCCTTTGCGTCTGCTCCCCTGCGCCTAGTCCCCAACGCCTACTCCCTTGCACCTGCTCCCTTACGCCTTCTTTCTTGCGCCTGGTTCATTGCGCCTTGCATCTCCTCACATGTGCAGACTGTATTTACCTGATTCAGCTCCCGTCGTCTGCATTTACCTTGCCCAGGCAAGAGCCATCAGGTAAGCATGGTGCGGTTTGTGATGTCTGCCATTGTAAGCATGCTCCGCCTGCCCCTCGTGCTATCACTGCCTCTGCCAGAACGCTCCTCGGCAGGCTATGTGACTTGTGAGTGTGAGGGAGATGGAAGAGAGGTACGAGGTGAGCACGCTGCAAAGAAAGAATGGGTGAGGGCAATGCAGTGCAAGGAGGGAGTGGGTGGGTGCATGCAAGAAGAGAGCAGAAGGGGTGTCGCGAGGGTGACTGAAATGCGCTGCGTGGAGAGGACATGCCTTAGTCAACCTGTATATCCAAGGATATCAGGAGACCATCAGCGTTTTTGTCTTACCCCTCCTAGCAGGCGTAGACATTGTCTTGGGAATGGATTGGATGCGACCTAATGATATTAAATTTTCAAGATAACACACTTTGATTCACAAAGAATGGGACGACGTTTCAATGGCAAGTCCCAAAGCGCCAAGCACTGGACGACAAACCTCAAACATTAGCTCTTGATGTGCGCTTTGCGTCGGCTCTCCAATTCAAAGAGCATGTCAAGGGAGCTGATACACTTTTTGTGGTACAGCTAGACTCCGAACCAACAAATTCACAGATTTTTGAGGATTTCTCACCTCAAATGAAGGC